CCCCTCCCCCCCCCCCCCAAAAAAAAAAAAGCCTTGGCAAAACAACCTAAGTTGAGGAAAAAAGTACTTTTTGTGAAAAAAGCATTTTTGGTCCTTGGAGAAGCTTGGCTAAATAGGCTATTAATGTTAATTTAGTATGGTATTTGTCAAAAATCCATGTGTTTTTTTAAAGATTAGTATGTCACTGTAGGGGTAGGTGCGAAATTTGGAGAACCTCAAGTATGAAAGAGCACTGAATTTGTCTATTATCGAGTGTTGGGATGAAATGAGTCCAAATAGAGGGGAATGAAAATAAAGTATTTCATATATCCATCTGTGACAAGCTTGTATGGACATGATTGATTGATCGTTTGTCGATATTATGAATATTCAAAGATCATAAACTTTGCCTTGTGCGCTTATGTTGCACGGACTCGAGTTCGGGTATCTGATACGGGTGCGAATATAGAGGTTGGATCCCAAGGTAAGTTGACCAATTCCGGTGTGGATCCCACACCCACACCCATGTTGTGTCGACGTGGGTGGGGAAGGGATTTTGAAGAGTTTGCGCAACATAGTTGTGGGCTCTGCGTATAAAGTAGGCCAATCAAGGTAGATTGGAGGAATTATCATTTGTGATAACTAAATCAAAATGTAGGAGAGGAAAGCAAAGTTCCTTGTCAAGCCTAGTCATTCCCCACACACCCCCCCCAAAAAAAAAAAATAAAATAAAAATAAAAGTAAAAATCTTAATGAAATGTTGGACAGAAAAAATGGATCTAGTCATGACAGACAATCATAGAGAATGGTTAATGATTATACTTATTTAGAGTGTCTAGTGTAGTCCAGCTCTCATACTTGTTTAAATTGGCCAAACTTGCATGGATTGGCTTAGTAATATACCGAGTTTGGTTACCATTTTTAGGCTTATTCTACAAAATGGACAAGCGGTTTATTTAGTGCTTCTGAGCTTCAAGTTAGCATTGTTAGACTAGTGTTCATTTTCTACATTCGTAGTGTTTATTCAAATAACATTTTGGCCTTATTTTTGAATTCTTTGTTTCATTCATTGGGCGTGGCTTCAGATTACTGAGGACATGGCCCTAGATAGGAAGTTGTGGAGGTCGAGCATTAAGGTTGTAGGGTAGGAGGTAGTTGTGCATATTTCTACGGCGCATCATAGTGAGGCTAGTCTGTTAGGACTTAGTCTTAGACTGTTAGTGGTTAATGTTGAGTCACACTACTTTTTCGTTCCTCTTAGTGTCGGGCTGTATCTACTGGTTATTGTTTTACTGTTCATCTATTTTTTGGTTCTGGTGATGATGTTATTTGTTTGATGGTTTCTTTTGATGGTACTGATATATTGCCTCTTTTCGTCTTCTTGAGCCGAGGGTCTTTCGGAAACAGCCTCTCTACCCCTTGGGGTAGGGGTAAGGTCTGCGTACACACTACCCTCCCCGGACCCCACTAGTGGGATTTAACTGGGTCGTTGTTGTCGTTGTTGTTTCATTCATTGGTCAGTATTCCAAAAAGAGTTTAAGTTATACACCGTCAGTGCAATGATTTTTTTATACTATCAGGTCATCCAAAGGATATTGGTAAGCCTCCTTAAAATGTGGTATAATCTTGTAAATAAGACAAGCTACCTGCGACAATAGATAAAGGTGACTTGATAGTGTATACACTGACGGTGTATAACTTAAACTCATTCAAAAATTGAATTCGTCCTAATAGTTTCTTGCATATGGATGTCCACTCTACATTTGTCGTAACATTCACCAAATTTGTATTTTCATAGTATATTGCATAATATATGTTCAGCTGAACTTATTACTCCACCTCAGTAATTGAACTCTAACCTAAAGTTACTAATTCTTTAGTGGGTGCATGTTTTGTTTTTTCAAAATGAATAAATAGATCACATGAATGCCTATAAATACTTGATCAAAAAGAAAAAGAAAACGTCTTAAGTAAATGCGAAAAACAAGTACGTTGTTGGCAACTAGTAATGAGAATTTCGTAAGTATGTAATTTTTTCTAGATATGCAAATTTAGCCCAATCCACTACTTTATCAGCACTAGTAATCGTTCTGCCCTACTTTGCAAGGGACCCTGATCCATAAAATGGATGATGTATTTGCTCCACTTTCACCATGCTGGCTAAATCAATCGATCAGTTTAAAAGAACTGGATCTATCCCTGTTTTTTACTATTTTCCATATTTTAGGCTTCTGGATGATATTGAGGACCAAATATTCCCTATCCTTGTTTGTTTCTATAGATCTTTTGACAGCTGCTTTTTCTTTTTGTTTTCTTTGTGGCCAGGCTATGATCATATTGGGCCTATTGGTCTCTGGTGAGTCTCTAATACTTATAAATTGCTTTAATTTTTTTGTAACTAAACAAAATAGATCTTTATATGCAAAATCACTGTAAAAAAAAAAAAAAAAAAAAAAAAAAAGATGTTTTTATGTTGTTAGAAAGTGAAGATCACAAGTCAAATCCTTTTTACTGAGAGGCTCTTTAACTTGAAACCTCATAATGTGAACTTTTGATTTGACTCGAACTTAATTAATTTGAGAAAATGCTTAATGAGTTTAGCTCATAACTCTCTCTTAAAAATTGAGCTACTCTCTTGTGATGCTGTTAGCATTTAGCATAACCTAATTTTGTCAAACAAAGACTGACACTCAAGTATAGCATACACATACTTATTTATCCAAAAACAGTACTATATGTAGCTACAACTATTCTAAAACTATTCATCCTTCTCATGAATGCCAAAAAATTTTCACACCAAACATCTTTTGCTCCCTCCAGCTTTTCTGTCGTGAAAGTCTCTCGGAATATTAATATATAGTTGTGTACTTAAGTATTACCTGTTGAGTTCTTTACCAGAAAAGTATTACCTGTTTAGATTATTTGAGAATGATGTTAGGATAGAGGTTGCTCCCCTAGCTTGTTCCATTGTGAAAGTGTGTCTCAATATTAACATACATCAACAACCCAGTAAAAATCCCACAAGTAGGGTCTGGGGAGGGTAGAGTGTACGCAGACCTTACCCCTACCCCGGGAGGTAAAAATGTATTTGCAAATGATGTTGCTAGGATAGATGATATTGCTTGTCGATGAAATGCCAACACATTTGAACAGAGTGTTTCAATATCCCGAAGAATAACCTTGTTTGCATGTATTGCAGTGTTTTTAATAATTTGTGTCACGAGAGTTGCCAAGGCTGCTTTAGAAAAAGCTTTGGCTGAAAATGAAGATATTGATGACATATTGCCATCGCCGGAGCTACCAACGGTGGCTGATCCTGCTGCACATCTCGGCCAGCCACTTATAATCAAGATAGATTCTGCTCAAGACAATCATGAGAAATAGGACCGATATCATCTTTGTAAATTTGATACTCATGCTACGGCTATAGGTGTTATTTCTTCTTGATGGTTTTGGCATCCATTTGGTGATGCATTTCATAGTCTTCATTTGTACAGGCAGATTATACAAATCCATGTAGTTTGGATAGAAGTGAATTCTTTAGTTTTTTTAGGCTACTTTTTAAGTCTACCGAGTCTTGGATTGCCACGAGCTAACAAGTGTAATAAACTCGGGAAATAGTTTCCTTAATGTACCCTTGTTTGTCTACTTCTTAGTACTAAAGAACCCTTTATCATGTTCTTGGATTGGATTTGATAAAGCACTTGCTTCTCAATAGCAAGCTAAGACAACCAACTGATCTGGTTGCTCAGTTGTGCACATAATTCATGGGTACTTGCCCCAGTTTGCTTGGATAATCTGTTTATACAGAATGTAAATAAGGTAGTCTAGATTGTAAAAACTGTACATAGTTGAATTACAGGAACTGAGATTGATGTTTTTTCTTACTATGTCAATTTTGGGACCATATATGGAATGAGGAACTACTGGAGATGACTATGGTTGGGCTTGAATTCGTGCCACTTAAATGCGCATTTCTTTTCGGGATAGTTCATGGATGGTCATTCAACTTTTACTTTATTGCACTATGGTCTCACTGTGCTCGAGTATTATAGAAAGTCACTGAACTCTCTGTTAAGTGGCACCAACTATGGTTGCCCTTGAATTGTCTTCAACTAGACAAGATCCATGTTAAGTGGCACCAACTATGGTTGCCCTTGAATTGTCTTCAACTAGACAAGATCCACTGGTGATTCGATCCTAGATAGCCTGGGCAAAGCGGAGAATATTGAAGATGACCCCGAATTATTTAGTGGACCTTTGACTCACTCCAAGTCCAAGAACGCGCGAGGGATGCACGTTGAGGAGCTGCATGGTCTTCAACAATTGACTAGAAGATGTTTGGAGAGTCACTTGGAGGATTCATGCAAAGGATACTATGTTTGGAGTCTTGAGAATTGAAGAATCAATACCCCAAGTTAAACCGTGTGACACGGTTTCACCAACCATTGGCTACGGTTCAAGAGGGGCTTGAAGAGCTGAAGAAAATAAGCTTTTGGAATTCGTCACGGTTCAGCTGTGCGTCACGGTTGGGGTTACGGTTGAGGCTACAGTTTGGCCTGATGAGTTTTTTTGGGATATTAACTTTGAAACTTTTCCTATTTTACCCATTGGGTATTCCTAGGGTTATTTCATTAGGAACTTAGCATACTTTGACGTAAGAAACTCTTCAGAGAGATTTGGGACCTCTTGGTTCGAGTTCGACTTTGGATTACCTGTTTTCAAGACTTGGGTTCTTAGGGTAATCTCCTTCTCCTTTTCTTTATATCTAGGGTTTCTAATTTGTCGTTCTTGGGAGGCGATCGGATAATATTTCGATTGTTATTTGAGACGTTCAATTATGGTTCTAGATTTTCTTTTATACTTCATTATTCAGATTACTTTGATTATCTTAATCAAACCTATCATTAGTTTTGCTTTAATTATTATTATTTTCATATTCCGCTGTTTGTATATCTCGGATCAGGTATTGTTCTAACAAACCCACGTTCCCCAGTCTTGAAATCAAGATTCGAATTAGTAAAAAAAAAATATAGTTCTTATTTTCGACTAAACCATAGTTGAGTTGCTAACAAAAACAAAACAAAAAAAAATCATAAAAGAATAGTTCTTGAGTTTCAAAAAAAAAGAAAAATTTATTATTGAAGTGTTATTGTTGATTGTCGGGGAAAGACTACTTTTAGGTAAGAAAGATTCATTGAGGATTCTTGTTAAGAATGAACTAGTGCTAGTTCACATTAAGTCGTTCTTAATATTTGAAACTGACTATTTTTTCGTGCTAATTTGTTCGTGCTTTTCTCGTTATTTTCATAGAAATTTCTTGGCTCCCGTCCTTAGTTTTTATAAGTCAGTTCTTGATTACATAAACTCCACTCTTAAATTACTTTCATGAAAACTCATTCTTGGATAGGTGATTTGTAAGTTGAGCTCGAACTTTGAGGATTTCCAAGGAGTGAGGCAGAGAATATATACGAGTGAAATGTGAGAATTCATAATTGTGAGAGAATGTCTAGCATTGAGGATATTACTAGTGGCACTAAAGCACCGGCTCAGGGTGAAGGAACTAATGAGATGTTGCAAGCTATGATGCAACATATTCAACATATAACTTTGCAGGTAGAAAACTTGCAGAGCGCCAGACACTACCAGTAGCTACGACACCCGCAGTACATAACGGGCCACCTCAAAATATGAGGAGAGATCCACCACAAGTTAGAGTACCTCCACAATATGCCCCATATGAAGAATTTGAAGATGAAGATTTTGATGACTATATTGATTATGACCATCAAGGCTTGAGATGGGGTAGGAGAGGAGCTAGGCATGGGAGAGGATTTGGGATGCGATAGTAGAATCAACCCAACCGAGATGAAGGAGTTGATAGAAACTTGGGTAGCATTAATATGAAGATTCCTTCCTTTGAGGGAACAACTGACGCGGATGTATACTTGGAGTGGGAAGCAAAGGTGGAAAGGATTTACAGAGTTCATAACTACTCTGAGGAGAAAAAAGTTCAAATAGCGGTGACTGAATTCGAGGGATATGCCTCTGCTTGACTTGAAAGAACTGAGCTTGATCGTAGAAGGCTTGGTGACAGACCAATTGAGACTTGGGAAGATTTGAAGAGAGCAATGAGGGGTAGATTTATACCTTCAATTACCATAGAGAGATCATTAAGAAGTTGCACAACTTGGTGCAAGGCCACAAAAGTGTTGAAGAGTATTACAATACCATGGAGGTGCTTAGGATGAGGGCCAACCTAGATAAGGTCGAGGAAACCATTATGACTCGATTTCACACTAGGTTGAATAAGGACATCGCTAATCAGATTGAACTTTCTAGGGATTGTCATTCTGTAGTAGAGATGTTGCACTTGGCTACTAATGTAGATAGGATACTTAGAGATCAAAACAAGTCGTCCTCTACTAGTTGGAACAGAGATAAGAGTACTTGGAGATCTTCTTCGAGTAAGAGTAAAGAGGTAAAAACTGAAGTCAAGCCATCTCAATCACTTGAAAAAAGTAAAAATAAGGTAGAGGTTAAAGAGGGAGGGAACTCTACTCAACCTAAACCTTACAGAAATTCGAGTTCTATTATTTGTCATAAATGTCAGGGGAGAGGACATATGCAATATGAATGTCCTACCCGACGAGCAATTTTGATTAATGGAGAATACGAATCTGATAATGGCATGAAAGAATCTGATAGAGAGGGATCCACAGATGGTATTACTAGTTGTGAGGAGGAAGAGCCCATGAACACACAATTAGTTGTTAGGAGGTTAATGGGGGTTCAAGTAAAATAGGGTGATTCTGATCAAAGGGAAAATTTATTCCATGCTAGATGTAACATTGGTGGAAGAATTTGTTCCGTGATTGTGGATAGTGGAAGATGCACTAATGTGGCTAGTGTGTCTCTTGGTGAGCAGCTGGGTCTTAGGACCATGAAGCATCCTCGTCCCTACAAGCTTCAATGGTTGAATGATAGTAGGGAATTGAAAGTGAACAAGCAGGTTCTTTGCTTCAAAATTGGGAAGTATATGGATGAAATTTTATGTGATGTTGTACCTATGCAGGCTTGTCATCTATTGCTTGAGAGACCATGGCAATATGATAGGAATGCTCCGCATGAAGGGAGGAGTAATAGCTATACTCTTGAGTTGAAGGGTAAAGAGTATCTCTTGAAGCCCTTGACTCCACTTCAAGAGTATGAAGATCATAAAAAAGTTTAACAATTGGGTAGGGAGAAGGTGAGAGAAGAAAAAAGAGAGAATGGGTGTAGAGGAGAGTGAGGAAGCGGAAAAAAATCAGAGGGTACTCGAAAGAGGAAGAATGAAAAGAAACCGAGTGATAGTGAGAGGAAAGAAGCGAAAGGAAGAGAGTTGAACCTTTTTGTAAAAGCCAAAGAGTGTGAAAGGACCCTTAGTGAAGGAATACCACTTTTACTATGTATGTATAAAGGATCTTATTTGAATAGTAATGAACTCTCTAACTCTTTGTCTAGTGATTTTATCTCTTTACTGCAGGAATATAATGATGTCTTTCCTGAGGAGCTACCTGAAAAGGATTGCCACCACTTAGGGGGACTGAACACCAGATTGACTTTATACCAGGATCTCAGATTCCGAATAGACCGGCTTATAAGAGCAACCCAGAGGAGGCTAAGGAGCTTCAAAGGCAAGTAGAGGAGCTGCTAAATAAGGAGTTCGTGAGGGAGAGCATGAGTCGTTGTGCTGTACCAGTCATTTTGGTACCAAAGAAGGATGGGTCTTGGCGTATGTGTGTTGACTGTAGATCTATCAACAAAATCACAGTAAAGTATCGCTATCCCATTCCTAGATTGGATGATAAGTTGGATGAGTTGCATGGTGCAAAGGTGTTTTCAAAAATTGATTTGCGAAGTGGATATCATCAGATTAAGATGAATCATGGCGATGAATGGAAAACAACCTTTAAAACTAAAAATGGTTTGTATGAATGACTAGTTATGCCTTTTGGGTTAACTAATGCACCCAGTACATTAATGCGCTTGATGGATCATCTTTTAAAGCCATTTAGAGGTAAATTTGTTGCTGTCTATTTTGATGATATACTTATTTACAGTCATTCTTTGGATGATCATCTTTTGCATGTTAAAAGTGTGCTTGATGTACTTAAGAAAGAGAAACTCTTTGCAAATCCTAAGAAGTGTGATTTTTGTGTTGACATGGTGATTTTCTTGGGGTTTGTTGTAAGTGGAAAGGGCATAGAGGTTGATGATAAGAAAGTGAAAGCCATTAGAGAGTGGCCTGTTCCAAAGAGTGTGTCCGAGGTTAGGAGTTCTCATGGTCTCGCTAGTTTCTATAGGAGATTTGTTAAGGGTTCTAGTACCATAGCTGCTCCTTTGACTGCAGTAATTAGAAAGGATAAGGGATTTAAATGGGGTAAGGAACAAAATGAGGCTTTGGAATTATTGAAGAATATGCTTAGTTCAGCCCCTTTGCTGTAACTATCCAATTTTAGTAAGACTTTTGAGGTTGAGTGTGATGCTTCTCAGGTAGGTATAGGTGCAGTTCATATGCAGGACCAAAAACCTATAGCTTACTTTAGTGAGAAATTGAGTGGAGCAACCTTAAATTATTCTACTTATGATAAAGAATTGTATGCCTTTGTGAGAGCTTAGCCAATTGGCAGCATTATTTGTGGCC